GCATAAATCCCGTGGTGTTTTGGTTTTCTTCTGGAGATTAAAGCTGTTTTTCTTGGGATAAATGCAGCAGCAAAACACAAACCAGTTGATCAAAAAAGCACTTCTTCCATAACTCCAATCATTTTCAGGACACATCAACGGACAGTCGTCTTGCAATCCCCAGTTCTTTAAGGGTTACGTCTCTGCACGTAAGCAGGTCTGTCCGAGCTTGCTCTCCATCAGGCCAGTTTGCTGACGACAGCCTGGTTGAGAGCTGTCAGCTGGTTGGTCCACTTATCTAGTGCAGAATACCATGCATCGCCTCGCCTCCGAGGATCCAGTGCGAGGAGCTGGCTGACTTGATCAGTTCGGCCGTGGATCGTGTTATCCAATATGCACTGCACCAGCAAGCTTTCCACATCAGCTCATCCATGCTTAACTCCTTAGAAATCAAAGGAATATGTACTCTTGTGGAAGGCTTAATTAACTTATGAGCACTTGTGTTCTGATGTGTAAAAGCTCTTCAGTGTGTTCTCTTATGAAAGGACCATGCACGGTGTTGCTGTGATTTGTTTTCAGACTCGTTTCGAATTTGGTGATGTCATTATTCTGATAGGCACTTGCTGATCTGTCATTGTTGGAATTTCTGGATCATTTTTGTATGGCTTAGCCTCCTGTGAGTCAAATGGAGTTATCCCCGATTTCATTAGCATGTTTGCTAAGACCAAGTATTTTAAGCAAGTAGTTTGCCTTGGACTTCCTGATTCATCATAAGTCTTCAAGGCTTCAAAAAAACCCCGTGTGTGCCTTTTCAAATTCACCTTCTCTCCAGTGCATCTTCCCACCATAGTCTCTGATGACCCCGTGATCAGCGGGTGCGGGATGGCGGACTTGATGTCAAACGACTGTCCATAGAGTGCTTTCAGCCTTTTTGTTCTTTTTCTGTGCTGTGTATATTTGAATTTCCAAGGCATATATTTCTAATAACTGTGTACCTTTTTTCAGGTCATCTTCAGGTCATTCCTCTCATTCTAAATATAATTTTCCAAGCATTGTGTTTGTCTTAAACCACAGCCTATCATGCTTCACATCTTTCAATGCTTCCAGTGTGGCTTCATAGAATTCCTGCAGTAAACCCATCTGTTTAGAACAGGCGATAAAATCAAGAATAGAATTAATGGGTTTTTTAGAATAATTTCTCGTGACTGCACTCCAAATATAGGTCAAAAGTTGTTTATAGCTATTCATCATTTCTGGAACGTTTGTCAACTTGAAATTAACTTTAATCATTTGTTTTAGTGCTTTAAATCCCCATTCTCCTTTTTCACCTTCATGTTCCAAAACCTTTTGAAAGCTGCTTAAAGCTGCTTTCGGGTCATCTTCTTTTAGTCCTTTGGGATGATAGTACTGATTTTCCAAATCCACATTTCTCTCAGAGTTACTGTCTTCAGCGTATTCCAGGTCACAGTCCTCCTCATCACACATGAAATCACCCTCCCTGTCAGACATCTTTTCCGGGAGGGGGGTTGTGAATAGTATTCGTATTCTAGGAGATGGAGTGGTGTGAGAGTGTGTGTCTGGAAATGATTGATTTAAATTCTTAACTTTGGGTAAATGACTTTCTGAGCGTCAGTATCTTCATCTGAGAAACAGAGTTGATAATCGTGCTTTTCTAACAGGATTGTGGTGCGAACTGAAAGTGAGTCCCTCCAAAACCATTGGACTGTACCTAGAAAATGTAGATGGAGAATCAATATTAGTTTTTCCATTGTTTTTTCTATTTTGAAATCTAAATATCGTTTATTTACTCTGTAGTGGGATAAAGATTTGACTTATTTTATATTTTCTCAGCATCTACTAATGACTCTAAATCATTACTTTCTTACACTTTTACTTCCTATGCCCTCCTCAACAATAGTCAGAGTTCCTTGATTCCTCTCTTTGTGAAAAGACGATTTAATCCTCCTCTCCATCCTTCAGTGCCTCACCTCTTGACCCCTTCCATTGATCTTTCACTTTTCACTGACCATCATAACGAGTATGTTTGTTTCTAGGATTTCAATGGTCTGTTTTGTCCCGAAGTTAATAATCAAACACAGGTATTTCCCCTGTTAGGATCACGTAAATATGGCCTCCCGGAAAGCTGCCTGTGTGGTATGCCTGCACATGCTTTCTTGCAGAGCCTTAGTTTTCCTGGGGATTCTGCCTGACTCCCTCACTCACCCCTTCCGCTTGTGCTCCACCAGGCACTCTTCACTTTCTGTCTTTGCTCTATTTCTTCTGAAATATGAATCACGTGAGGTGTTACATTAAGTCTCCTTTCCCTACTGATTTTCCCTTGTTCTGCTCTGGAGTGGCTGAGTTTTGGGCCTGGAACACGCACACCGTGACCTATATATTCTCTTCTCTCTGGGTTGGTTTTCCTTTTTCCTGGACACTCTTTTTCTCTCAGTTATCCAACCCTTCCAGTGCACACACAACACACACACACACACACACACACACACAAGCATGTACACAGACACACAGAAACATGTCCATCACACAATTTTTCTTGCTTTTTTTTCTGTGCAGTTTTTTCCCAATAATGTTCTATGATACACTTGTATGATAAATACATGATTCCGCATTCAGCTCCAGATTTTTCATTTTTGTACTATTCTCTAGAGATTTTCCTTTTGTTTCCCCATCTCTTTCTAGCGTTGTTTACTTTGTCAATCACTTTTTAATTCTGAAGACCTTTTTGTTCCATAATGTTTCCATTTCAGTGCCTCTTGTATTCATTTAATGAATAAAATTATCTTTAAACTTCTCTAAAGACATGAGTTCAGGTTTTTAAAAAAGTCATTTTTTGGTTTCAAAATGTTTTCCTTCTGGAATGATGCTGCTATGGCTTGTATCTAGATGTCCTCCCAAAGCCTCATGTGGTCATAGGTGGGGCTTTCCGGAGGTGGCTGGATCTATGGTGTGTGATGCTGGGATTAAGAGTGTGATCTGGAGATTAAGGGTGTGTTATTATTAAATTAGTCCATTGATTTGTTTAGCTTTGGTCTAAATGTGGGTAATGGAAAGACCCACCTTGGGTTTGGGTAGGTACCACTGCAAAAGCAGGTAGCTTGGAAGGGATAAAACGGAGAGGCAGGCTGCTGCTGCTGCTTGCTGCTTTGCTGTATCTTGCTGGCTTGCCATGCACTTTTTCTTCTCTGTGATGCCTCTCTGCCATGCCACCCTGCCTTGGAGGCAGCAGACTATGGACTGAAACCTCTACTAAAATTAACCTTTCCTCTTTTAAATTTGGGTGCTGCATATTTTGTCTCAGCAATGAGGAAAGTAACCAATACACATGTTTTATTTGCTTCTTTTGGCCATGTTTCTACGTTGATGTCTTCTTCATTCATCTGACTCCAGACTGCCCATTCATTTTCAAGAGGGGACTAGGCATCCTTGTAGGAGGATTGAATGGTGACTCCATAAATGTCTGAACACCAAGGTACATTTTGCTGGGGACATTCAGTTCAGTCCGCACTCCCTGATTTTTTTGTCCTTCTGGGGTAGAACACAGGCTGCTATAAACTCTGTGTGAAGAAGGACCTGATGGTTTCTACTGACTTCCTTTTCATCTCTCCCTCTCTCATGATTTGCCTTCCAGACCATTCTTCTTGGCCATGAGCCTGCTCTGAATTTCTCTACATAGCAGCTCACTGAACTGTGCTTTATTCAGTTATCACCTCTTCATCCACTTCTGTCTCCCAAACATCCACTAAAGTCTTGGATCTACTGTTGAGCTCATTCCACTTTTCACAGATAGTAGAGTGAGGAGAAGCACTGTGTGGATTCCTGAGTGGGACCCAGCCTTCATCACTACTAGATTTCTGATTGGGAACAAGCTGCTTCACACCTGTCTTTCCATTTACTCACCTGTAAACAAAGACATGACTGGTGGACCCTTGAACGTTCACTGGAAGAATAGTGTGTCATCATTTATAAAGACTGAGCAATTACTGGTGTGGAGTGAGACCCACCAACTCAGTCACTATTATTATTAGCTATGATCACATGTGGAAGGATCTTTAGTAATGTTTTTGAGTAGTAGCAGAAATAATTAATAAATGCCTTTATGTCTTCCTAAATCATGACCCACCAACATCCACATTAGTTTTCCTACCTCCTCTCCAAAGGCAAGATAGTGACAAGAAATTGAAGAAATTCCATTTAAATGCAGGCTTGTTTTTCAAAGAAAAGACTTCTGGTAGCTGACAAGACTGAAAGTATCATATATGGCCCAGGTTTAAATTTAATAACATCTGACCCTCTCATGCTATTTCTACACATTTCTGAAGGAAATAATTTCAAATGCAGTCAAGGTTCTATCCAAGGAGAATGTTTGTGCATTATTATCTATATAGATGAATGGAAACAACCTTAGGTCCAACAGTTAGGGGGAGACAGGAAAGCAAGCCAGGTTCTGGCAAGTCTCCAGACTCTAATAGGATGAACAATCTGCAGAAACAAAATGGTGCAGGCTTTGGTGATCGTGGGAGAGGACACATGAAAATTTACCAATACAGGGACTTGGACAGAGGGTACCAGGCCTGGTTTTGGAAGGAGAGGGTCACTGACAAAAAACATATACACAAGCAAGGACTTTTGAGTACTTAAAAGAGTAGAGAGCATAGTCTTCAGAAACATGGGATTTGCATGAGAAAGATTTGAGGTCAAGTCCTGGCCCCAGAACTCCTGTGAAAATGCACATGTGTTCCCTGACCTTCAGGGTGCTTCCCTCTGCTTTAAAATGGGAGCCACAAAGATGCTGGCTCCATGGGGCCATGAATGAGGTGTGTAAGGAGGGTGCACAAGACAGACCCTCAAGAAACACTAGCCTTTATCACTATGAACTCAAACGTTTCCAGCCCCAGTCACTCACCAGAACATTCCTTGCCATCTCCTCCTCTGTGTATGAATTCTATCATTTCTATATGGCTGTGTCCTCATCCCAAAATCTCCTCCCTGTTCCCTCACAGGACCTGAGGACTGTGCCTTGGTGAGGTGAGGGCAGAGGCAGCTGGATGATGGCCTTTCTCTAAATAACAACCACAGAGCCTGGTGGACGGAGAACTTGCTCAGTGACGTCCACTGGTAAGTCTGCATCCCAGAGAGATACATAGAAGACCTGACCTCTAGCTGCTGATCACTGTTGCCCCAGCTGTCCCTAGTCTACTCCATAATCTCTTTCCTTCTCTCCTCCAGCCAGGACACCCTGGCAAGCTCTAAGGAAAACCTCTCAGAGACAACATTGCCATCACCATGGCCTGCGCACCATTCACAGGTATTTGCTCTACTTCTCTGGCTGGTTCCTGCTCATGAACTGGCGCTGAGGTGGCTCCTCTGAAGCCAAGGTAGCTTGTGAAGGAGACAAGGATGGAGAGGGGAGACCAAAGGAGAACCCATGGATCTCCACTCTCGGAGGTCTGTGGCTCCTCCCTTCGGGACCTTTTCCTGGGGGCAGAGTCCAGGTGCCCACATCCTCCCTGCGCTGCATTTAGTGAAGACAGCCCTGAGGGAAGAGGACAGGAGGGGAGGGGAGAGAGGGAGAGGAAAAGGGGACAAGAGGCAGAAGGGCAAGGAGGGGATGTGACAGAGCCTGGAGACTCCTCTTGCCTGTCACCTGTCCCTTGCTAGTCACTGACCCTGCAACACTTCCCACGAAGTGTCCCCTCAGCTCCTGCCCTGTGGGGTCCCAACTTCTCTGAGTGACTCAGCAGCAAAAGTGACCCAGTCCTACTGCATTGGAACCCAGTGTGACATTTGCCATATATGTGACCTGGAGCCCTTACTTCACCTATCACATGAGAACAATGTCTCCCAAGGTTTTGTGAGGATCAGTTGTAAGGAGCACACATGGCTAGGCCAGCGCCCATCACCCAGCAGGTCATCTAGAGTGTGGGTCTCCGTCTTCCTTGTACCCTGTAAGACCCCCCTCCTCCCCACACTTCTAAAGCTGTGTCTGGGGCCTTGGTCTGGCTGCCAGTGGCGGGCACCTGCCTCCCAGGTGTGACTGACACAAGGAAAAGAAATATCAGAAACTGTAATGAAAACAACCCTCCCCCAAATCAACACCCTTTTCAGTCCTGTTTCCTTCACCCATGCTCAGGTGCCTCGGAACCAAGTCCATTACTCAATTCTTCACCAGCCCTGGAGAGTAAGGTTGGGGTGAAGAATAATGGAGCTAGGAAGACTGGAAGCCAGGAGCTCCCAGCAGGCCTGGGATTTAGAAACAGGGCTGGGGTTGTATTTCTTGTGATAAATTTTTCTTTGTGTAGTAACTGGAGTCAGTGGTGGCCCTGGGCAGCCGGCCTCTGCCACTCATAGCAATGAAAGGGATCAGTGCAGAGGGTCCAGCTGCCCCCTCACCACCTGCCAAGGAGGATCCTCTCCACTGCCAGTCTTAGAACCTCTGTAATTATCAGGCAGGTCGACTTCCATGACAGATGCTGTCAGTAAAATGGAGTTTAAACCATTATTTTTCAATTTAAGAAACCTCAGGTGTATTATAGCATACCATGCAGAAGTCACTTTTAGTTTGGGGTTTGATGGGAGAAATTCTAAGTTGGAGTCAAGCTGATGTTGCCCAGGCTGATCTCAAACTCCTAGGCTCAAGCAATCCTCCTGCCTCATTCCCCTAGAGCTGGGCCTACAGGCCGGTGACACCACATCGAGATAGGCACTTTTTAAACATGGGAATTAACTGTAGTGTCCAAGAAATGTTGACAAGTTAGCCTTGGATTCAGTTCCTGAGCTTTCTGCTTGATGACTTTGAGGAGACATTTTTCCTGTATGAGTCTCTCTTCTTTGAAAAGAGAATAATGGTTCTCTTGTTTTTACAGAGTAGGAAATACATTTTTAAAAAATTAATTTTATTGGTACATTTTAGGTATACAATATAATGACATTCATCATTGGAAATTTGCACCTTTACATAGTCTCTCTTGGTTCTTATTTTTTCCCCCTTCCCCTGCCCTCCCTTCAACCCCTCCATCCCTCCCTATTTACAAAGATTTTGTTTCCATTTTTTTCATTTTCTCATATTAATTCCATTCCCTTCTTTCCTTTCCCCTACCCTTCTCACTTCCCCTTCCCCTTTGCCCCTTTTCTTCCTATGGAAATACATTTTATATCGTGTTCAAGTACACACATAAATTTGTTCTGGTCCCCAATCCTTTATCTGCAATTCCATAGACTCCAGGTCCATGTAAACTTCACACTTCCATGGTAATCAACAGGGCAGTAACCCTGGCCTCTTTACTGGCCTGAGGCTGTTTACAGCCTTGTCTCTATTTGTCTCATTTAATTTGAATACCTATTTGTTTCGCTGTCAAATCAGAAATGGATTTGACTACTAGCATTGACTTGTAATATTCCATGTTTGTTCTGTGTTCCCTCTATGAAAGATTGAAAATTATATTTACTGTATATTTAAAAGTAACTATTAGAGAGGATTTTGAGTTTTCTCAACCCAAAGGAAATGAGCACTGCTTAAGGTGATGAGGTGCCAGTTTCCTTGAAATACCACACTGTACCCCATAAATATATGAAATTATTTGTGTCCATTAAAAATAGAAATTGAAAAATATTTTTAATATTTTAAAAGATTAAATTTTGGAATTTCTAGGCAATCTATGTCATATAATTTATAGATAATTATTAGATACATATGAAATATAGGAAATGTGATAAAAGTACAGTGAATTTTAAAATTTGCAAGAAATTTATTACGGTGAAAAACACATTACAATTAATCCTCTTCATAATACTCCCCCTTGCTTCAAACACATTTCTCCTATCACCCATCATTCTTGCCACTTTTTGAAGCTATTCTGGAAGTCATCTTACACGAATGGATTCAATTGTGCTGTCCTGTCTTCCTTGATGTCCTAAATGGATTCAAACCATTTAACTTTCACCATCATTTTGACTTTGAGAAGAAGCAGGAGTGGCGTGGCCCCAGATCTGGTGAATAAGGTAGAAGAGGACACATGGTAATGATTTTACAAGCCTGCCTTTCCATTGGATGGCACTCAGCAGCAGCATTAACCATATTTTAATCACATTCCATTTAGACACTGACAAAGGAGGATTTCCAGAAATGCTTCAGAAAGTGTCAAGAACAATGGGAAGTGTGTTTGAAGTGAGAGGGAGTCTTCTGAGAGGGGCTAATGGCAATATGTCTTGTATTGTAAAAAGTTTTAAAAATTTTAAAATTCACAATATATATTGATCACCCTGGGTATGAACTTAAAATAATTCACAAAACAATGCACAACCATTCTATGTCCAACACACTCTGATATTGTCAGTTATATTTCTTTTTTACAGTGCCACTCTTGACCTAAACTAATTTCAGAACCCACTGATGGGAGGAAAGTCACATTTTGAAGATGCTGGTACACAGTACTTGACTCACAATAAGTTCTTGGGAGATGGAAGCCATCATTGGCACTGTCACTGTCTGAAAGCTCTGTGCAGTTTACAAAAAAAAATCAACTGGTTTTCAACAGTTTCTCAGGAAAGCACAGTAGTACTTCTGGCCACAATGATGCACACCTGTAATGTCAGCCACTCAGGAAGCAAGGCCAATCTGGGCAGTGTAGCAAGACCCTGTCTCAAAATAAAATAAAAAGGGCTGAGAATGTGGCTCAAGGGTAGAGCACTACCCAGGTACGTATAGAGCCCTAGCTTTTATTCCCACCACCACAAAATAATAACAAAAACCCCCAAGGCAATTCTTGGTGAATTCGTTATCTGGTGCTGCTACTGAACATCACAGGTTGGTGGCTTGAACAAAAGCCCTCAAGTGGCTTTGCTTATCTGTCTTCCTTATTGGCCCTATTTCCAAGCACAGTGACTGGGGTTAGGCCTCTAACTTATGCATGTGACAGACACAATTCAGTCCATAACACTGGAGATTCTATCAAAAGTTTCCATGCGACAGCTGCTCAGGAAGGTGAACGTTTAATCACGGCGTACTCCAGCCATTATCACTGTATTCTAACTTTTTCCTCTTTTTCTCCCAACTAGAAAACAGCTTCATTGAGGCTGTTGTTGAGTGTCTCCAGGACATAATGAGCAGAGAAGATCTGCAGCTACTGGTAACTGAAGATGAAGCCTGGGAGACGGTCTTGGCAGAGGCAGGATTGCCCAGGTTACAACCTTAGGACATCCCAACGATGCCACCCAGGGCTCGGCTGCCTTTCTCAGTACAGAAAATCCTCCTCCAGGCAATTTTCTGTGGTTGACCTTGAGGGTGCTTTTTCCCAACAATCCCTGTGGGATGTTTTATCCATGTCATTCCCTGGCAGTGAATGGCCTTAGGTCAAAGGGACATGGTGACCCCATGAAGAAGGGTCACTTCTGCCATCTGCTCATTATGTGAACTTTGCAGTTACTTTACCACTTTTTGCCTTAGTTTCTTCCTTCAGTTTAATTGTGAGAAAAATAAGATAATGCAAATAAAATGCTCAGCATACAACTGACACACATTAGGTACTCAGGAGAAGTTAATTTTTTTTTTTTTTTGGTACCAGGGATCGAACTCAAGACCTTGAGCTTGCGAAGCAAGCGGCGGAACCACTGAGCTAAATCCCCGGTCTGGGAAGTTAATTTTTAAAAGACCAGGTGGTAAGAGAACAGGGACTAGGGTCTCCTCTTTGGAGAAGGGAGCCAGAAGGACTTGCTTTTGAACAAGTCAGAAAAATCTAGACAAGACCAACTTATGTTCCAGGAATTCTTCCTTGGGCCATTTTTCTCCCCATCTGAGAAACTGTACAAACACAACAGGCTCTTTGTTGCCTAGGAGGCAGAGAGACCAGAGTGAGGTTGCACAGAGCTGGGTGACACCCTGGCTGTCCCTGCTAGCCCCAGGACTCCAGGCTTGTGCCTTGGAGACTTGGATCATCATGTGTCCCATGGGAACAGGAGAGTTGAGGCCAGAAGGCTGGGAGCAGAATGAAGCAAAGGAAGGGCTAAAGGTGCAAAGCATAGGAAGGTCATGGGCTCGACAGAGGACATGTCAGTAGGAGAAACCATTTCCTCCCTCTTTTCATCATCCATCCCTGACGGTCACTGAGGGTTTACTTGTTTGGTCCATACCCTACTGGGCTCTGGACAGTTCTCAGCTGCCCAGGGGGACCCTTGCCAACATAGAGTAGCCTGTGATCCATAGGCAGGCAGTATACCTTAGTGACAACTTCCAGTGTCGGGAGAGCAGGCTGCCTATTTTGTGTAATGTGAGAGAGTCTGAGGACCTCAAAAGTCCTTACTGCAGAAGAAAATATGTCCCGTCATGTCTTATTCAAATTAAGGTCTTCACAGGCTTAGTGATTTCTGATAGCTGGGTCTCAGTGTCTCGTGAGACTTTGCACGTGGCCTTGGCTGCACACAGGTGACGCTGTCTCCAACTATGGTGTCCTTAGAGGGCTGACATAGGAGTAAGACCCTGAAAGTTGGGTGCCGTGTGGTGTGGGTCAGGAGACAGCGAGGTGAGGGGAGGGGAGTCAGGGTGGAGCCGAGTCTAACAGCCAGGTCTCCTGCTTCCCTGCAACTGGGGCAGCACTGACCTTCCACCTGAAAGGACAAAGAGCATTGAGCATTGGAAGAGAGCAGATAACAACTTTTTAGCTTCTTTCTGGCTCTGAAGATTTATTACTTACATTTTAAGTGCCCAGTATCAAACCAAGCAAAGACTGAGATGCAGATCAAAGACTATCTTGTTTTTTGTGTATATGTTTGTTTGTTTGTTTGTTTGTTCTTACTACCTGTAGTACTAGAGATTGAACCTAGGGCTTTTGCACTGAGCTACATTAAACCGTTTTAATATTTTATTTTAAGGCAGGGTCTCACTAAGTCACTAAGTTCCCAGGCTGGACTTGAACTTGTGATTCTCCTGTCTCAGCCTCAGAGAGTGCTAGGATTGCATGTATACACCCCAACACCCACATTCTACCTTTACTTTTGACACTAATTGCAAACCCCAGGAATTCCCAAAACCAAATCCACATTTTCTAGTTTACTATGGGGACTCTGAGCTTACTGAAGATGCTCATTACACAGTTATGTTTTATTCCAGGGAAAAAACACAGCTTCAAATCTGTCAAAGGAAGAAATGCATAGAAGTGAGTTTAGAAGGGTTGCAAAATAAAGCATCCATTCCTCTCAGGACACAGTGCATTGCATTAGTTATGTGTGGCCATTCACACCAGGAATTGTCAAGCAGGGGGATCACCCTTTGAAAGATTCTTATTCTGATACATGTCAGAGCAGTGAGGAAGACATCATTCAGCACTGCTAAGCTGGAAAGGGGGACGGGGAACAATTCTGGACACAGTAAGGACAGCTGGAGCGTAACAGCCAACAAGCAGAGTATGGGGCAGTAGAGAGCAAATTATTAACAAGAACATGAGGATTAGGGGAATTTGTGATGGTGACTTAATGAGACTCTTCCTGAAGCACGTCAGGGATGAATACATCAGAGGTTGGTGGTGGACACCTGCTCAGGTATCATTGTGGAGGTTCTCACTATCCCAACTTGGAAGGATTTGTTCTAAGAATGGGTAATTCAGGTCCACAAGATACAAGACAGACCTGGAAGGCCAAGGTTGATGCCCAGTTGAGAAAATGTTCAGAAGAGCTTAAGTACATTATGGTCAAGGAAAGAGTTCTTTTTAACTCAAGCCTGTGACCTGGAAGTTCTTTGGGGGCTGGATCACATACTACCTTCACTGGTGATCTGGGGTCTCCCTCCCACACCAGAGGTCAGTGCCTTTTCTGTCCCATTAATCTGGATGTGCAAAATTCTCCTAAAGCCCCATCACACACCACTTTGTTAATGTTGAGTATCCTTCATGGGCAATACTTGGGACCACAAATCTTTTTGAGTTCTGAATTTTTTTCTGATTTTCAGATATTTGTAGATACATAGTGTAACATCATGGGGATGATATCCAAGTTCAAACAGTAAATTCATGTATGTTTCTTTATAACTTATACACATTCTGTAAAGGTAACACTATACAATATTTTTAGCATGGTTTTTTCACTGTGACCCATCTCATGAGGTCAGGTGTGGAACTTTCCACTTGTGACATCTTATCCGAGATCAAACAAATCACTTTGGTACAGTTCAAATTTAGGATTTTTGGATTAGAGATGCTGAACTCGTGTGCTACTATAGCCAAAATCTGCAGGCAAACAAAGACATTCCTAGAAGGGAGGACTGTTCAGAGGCTTACAGGTCATATCCTAGTAAAAGGTCAATTTCCGGTAGCTGAGGCCAAACAGAACACATTTTGGATAAGACTAATCCTTCACTCTACACTAATGTGCCATGAATTTAGGTCTCACGAGTCCCACTTCTCTTTTTCCACCTTCAGAACACCCACTCTGCAAATATCTTGGTAGTCCCGGCATGGACTTGAGTGAGGAAGCATCTTTCTCAAATGCTTCCCACTAAAGAGCATCTTCTGATGACTTTTACTCATTGCCCTCTTATTGAATAGGGACCACAGAGCACTTGAGATGTCCAAAACATGTTCAGCATTGAAGGGAAAATTCTGTACACTCGTATGTACAATCATTTTTTATGGGATTAATAGTTAAAAGCTCTGTGATTGGGCAAACATGCAAGTCTGGAACCCATTTTACACATAAAGGAATTCCGTTTCTTAATCGTGTGAACTTTGCTGTTACAGGGATGAAGCTGACGCGCTCCGTGAAGCTCTGAAGGGGCTTACAGATGACATGGACAAGGTGGACGAAGAGAGGCAGCAAGAAGGCCGGCAGGCTGGAGAGAGGTTTCTGGACTTGTTTCCTCAACTGAAAACTGAGCTCTTGGAGGACATAAGAAAGCTCCGTGCCCTTGCAGGCCAAGCTAACAAGGTGCACTGGAAGTACATTCTCACTACTGTGCTGGGCATCCCCAGTGGCACAGCCTCTGATATCTTGACCCTCCTTGACCTAGTTCTAGTGTCCTTCACAGCAAGGGGCCATCCAGCACCCCCCGGACCAGGTGACAAGACACCAGCCAGAAACAATGTAGTTGATTTGTCCTCTATCCCGGTGGAACATTCACACACATCACCAGATCAAGAGGAAGCCAGAGATTTGATGTCAGCCATTGTGGAAAAACTGACAAGGTTTACAGAGTCTGTGGGTCGCTTCCCACCCAAAGTGTTTTCCCCAACTGAAAACTGGAACCAATTCCTGAAAGGCATTGGAAAGAATATCAGTGCTATCAAGCTGGCCAACAGTGACCTTGAGTTAATAAAAAAGGTCAAAGTGGCCATAAAGATGGAGAATATCATGGTCCAAGGTGGTACAGGGGTAGTACAGTCAACCTTTGGACACACTGCTATGGCAATAAGCAGAGAAACCAAGATATTTTGTACAGCCACGGGAGCTGTCTTCTTGGGGTTAGACTTGTACAACCTTGTGCAAAGCTCTGCACACCAGCAGGAGGGGGAAAAGTCAGTGCTGGGGGATGCACTTCGGGAGCAGGCTCAGGAGCTGGAGAGCATACTGGAGCACCTGGACCAGGCCTGTGAGCATTTGAAGTCAGACTCAAATGAGTGACTTCTTCTTCGCAGCAGCACCCAGGTCAGGGAGGGTGTGCGACACACAGACATGGACAAAAAGAGGCGTTTTATTAGAGGGGAAAGAGGGTGAGGTGAAGGGCATGAACCGAGGGTTAACGACTTCATTTTTTTTCATGGCTGAACACTGCAAAGGAGGCATTAAAGCAAACAGCAAGTGGGTCAAAGAGAAGGCAGGAACCAGAGCCTAAAACAACTGACAAGAAGAGAATGGTAAGTGTAGGAAATGAGAGGAAATAGTTTATTTTGGGCTAAAGCAAACATGGGGAACTACACAGAGGCAAGTATAGGAATAAACAATGGAGATGGTCAGAAAAACCGAAAAGTTGAAAATGAGAGGAAGCCAGTGTTCAAACCACTAAATATGAGAGAGGAAATAAGTGGCTACCCTACAGAACATCCCCATGATCTGAGGTCTTAGCAATAGGAAAGCCTATCTCTCGCATTCTCTAGCCCTGTCCTTCCATTGTCCACTCTCCCTTATGGCCATCAGACAGTGACTTCCACCGATCGTAGTGATGGAGTCCATGGTGGTAGTAGCAGTGGTGACAATAACAGTGATGGCTGTGCTGATGATGACTGCAGAAGTCGAGCACAAAGCAAGGTGCCCTTACTTTTGGGGGCCAACGTGCCAAGAGGGATCAAGAAAATCCCAATGAAACTTCAAATGCTGTGTTGGAAGAAAGGAAGGTGATCTGGGAGTGGGGACAAAACCCAATTCAAACAAAAGGCGAAGGGACCTGATGATGTGTAGACATCAACCTCCTTGTGGTCAAGAGTCAAGGCCCTTCTGAACCTAGCTGTTGAGCTGTTGCGGGGCATGTTGGACAAGATGGTATCTCAGATCCACCTGGCTCTTCCTGTATGTGTTCTATAAACTTTGGTGCAATAAATAGTCACTAGTTATGCTGGGGAAAATGGGTGTAAAGAAGAGAAGTTTATAAGCAAAAGCTGCTATAAAATGAAAGAAAAAGGCCCAGAGATTCAGGATTATACAGAATGTCATTTTTACTGGAGACCTTTGCATGGAAGCCTGTGGAGAGCCAACAGCTCTATAAATATTAAGGTGGACAACTTGGATTTCCTATGAAAGGGTTAAGTGAAATATTATAGAACTTGCTGCCCAGCTCTGAAGAAGTTAGGCATAGGAGGAAGTGATAAGAATAGCACAAGGACACGAAACTAGGGAAAAAAAAACATGGGACTGTCTCAAGGCCTGGGGACTTTCCAGATGTGCCTTATGTAAGATGTTTTCTATTCTTAAGTACTATAAAAGAGAACAGTAAAGTCAATAAAGAAGCTCGGATGCTGGGAGCTCCCCCAACTCTGTCTCTTTGCCTTTCTTTTTCTTCATCCTCATTCCTCCATTCAGGTGTTGTTCGACGAGTGACTGCGGGCTCCGTCAGAAGCCTGGTAAAAGGCAGCCACAAAAGGCATGGGCCTTGCAACTTGGGTCAGAGGGAGGAGCTTAGAGAGTAGTCAGGACAAAACTAAATTCATCAAAGCTGGAATGTACCTGGTTTATCTCATGATAGCATAAAGCACATCAGACACATTGCTGATATCTCACATCACTTCAGTGATAGTGATTATCTATGGCCTTATGGGAAATGGTGCAGGAAAAAGCAGGCCACGGTTACTAGGGAACAGTCATGTCAGTCCCATCTGGAGATGCTGGTCAGGTCAAGCTGGATCCCTACACTGACACATGGCCCTGCTGTGCTGACTGATTGCTTCACCTGGGCTCCAGATGCCTGACTTCCCTTCCTCATGACCTTCTCCAAGCGTCTCAGGGAGCCGGTCCTCCCAGCCAATCATTTCCATCGGACTCTGGTCCCTGCAGCCCCACTGGCCACCTGAGTGAAGTACATTATGTCTGGCTGGGGCTGAGCACGGGTGCATTCCCCATTCAGCACCCGGGACCCAGGACTGACAGGAGGCACATGAGCTGGATTGAGATCAAAGGGGCCTGTGTGCAGACGGTAGAGAGGATCAGAGGTAGAGGAACGGAGAAAGACACCTAGACAGCAAACATCCTCATTTAGATGCCACCGTCATGCTTCCCCTAGACTCATGGAGGAACATCTGTGTCCCATGGCCCCTTAACCTGTCCCTGGCCATTCTCCACACTGGGCCAGATGGGCCATTATGAATATACATTATGCACTTGGCTGCAATGCCACAACAGACCTTGAAGAAATTCTTCTCATATGCAGACCAGTTTTTAAAAACAAAGCAGACTACAAACAACTGGCAAGACTGACAGAATGAACACCATCATACAGTGCCCATGTTTAAACATTAATAGTTTCTAACCCAGTCAAACTATTTCTAAAAGTAGTAAATAATCTCAAATACAAGGAGTTTCATACCTAAGGAAAATGTTCATTGTGCTATTACTTACATAAAGAATTTGGAAAAATCTAAGGTCCAACAGTTAGGGGAGGACAGCAGAGAGGACTGGACAGCCCGTAGCCAACCCAAGTACAGTGTCAGGCAGGTCTCCAGGCGTAATGAGATGAAGGATCTTGCAGAAGCAAGGAGATACAGGAAGGCTTTGAAAACCATTAAGGGAAGGGGCTTCAATAAATTTAGTAAGACAGAAACTTGGGCACAGCATGCAAGACATAGGATTTGGAATGAAGAGTCATTGACAAAAAACATATATATATATGAGTAAATACTTTTGTGTATTTAAGGGAGCAGAGCATAGTCATCAGAAACATGGGATTTGGATCAGAAAGACTTGGGGTCAAATTCTGGAACCAGAACCTCTGTGAAAACTTGGGCGTGTTACCTGAGGTGGGGAGAGTCATGGCTTTAAAATGGGGGTCACAAAGGTATTCACCCTGTGGAGTGTGTGTTATCATGAAATGTGGGTATGTGGAAGATGTCTGCCCATCACAGACCTTTGGGATATACGTGCTGTTATCAGGAATGAACACAAGTGTTCCCAAGCCCAGGTGATCTGCAGACCATTCCCTCCCATCTGTCCCATGCATGGCTTCTATTGTTTCTTCATGGCTGTGTCCTCATCCTATTATCCTCTCCCTGGACCCTCTCAGGACATGAGGCCTCTGCCTTGGCTGTGTTGAGGGAAGAGGGCGCTGGTGCAGAATCGCTGCCTTTCTTTAAACTGCCACATAGTGGGTCCTCCCCAAGTGTGGTTCTTTTCCCAGCCTGGACACTGTAAGTTCCTTGAGAACTTCCCCTTCCTCCTGCCCCATCCAGAAGCTGTGTGGGGGCAGCTGCCCTGCCCTGCGAGTGCACCTCCTTATCAGGTGTGAGCCCCCACAGGTGGGGAATGACCCCAATGATCTCAGGAAAAGAAGTCTGCATCTTAAACCAAAGCAACATTAGTTTTCCTTCAGACTTGCTTTTTTTTCCTCCCACCACTCAGGTGCCTTGGAACCAAGTCCATTGCTCAACTCTTCACCAGCCCTGGAGATCAAATTGTGCAACCAGTAGCCCTGGTGAGGAATAAGGGCCTTAGGAAGATTGGAAGCCAGGGGCTCCCAGCAGACCTGGGATCCTTCAGGAAGGGCTCTGGCTGGTGCATTCCTTGGGATAAACTCTCCTTTGCTTACCAAATAGACTGGCCTGAGGTCAGAGGTGCCACTGGAGAGCCGGGTCCCCTGAGACATGGAGAGGTCACAAGGCTGACAGATGGGGGTGCAGCTGTGCCATCACTACACCCTGAAGAATTCCCTGCACTGCCTGTCTCAGTGCCTCCATCATTAGCAGGAGGAATCCTGTTGACAAGACAATTTTTATTCAGTAGTGTACAGTTTTTAAAAACTTTTTAAACCTCACAGGTACATTATATAGGAGTCAGAGGCTACTCAGCTCTACATGTAGACATGGGGATCATTTGGGAGACGTCTGGATAAGAACTAGATTCCAGGGATAACTCAATTGAGACTTTAACTCCACTTCCATCAAAGCCAAAGACCGATGCGAGCTGCCATGAGCCACCAGACCGTGACAAGAGTGAAATGAGATGTCACCTGAGTTCCTGGAAGATGACTAGTTCCAGAAAGAATGTGACTCTTCCTCCTCCCATTAGCCTATCTCTTCCTCATTCATCCTACCCCCCATCTGTGACTTCCTGACCCATCACTGTGGTGAGAGGTTCACTGGTAAGCAAAGTCCCCACCTCTACACACTGGCCACAGAGTAAATCCTTCTTTCTCCCCAGCATTCATCTCTCAGACATTGCTTTTTCCATTGGATAGGCTTCCTGATCTGAGTTCTGTAATGAAGTGTCCCCACATGGAACTCAGTTTGATTCATGAGAGAAGACAGGAAGAGATCAAAGGAAACTCAAAATCTGATAGAACTGTCCAAAGTAAGGTGGGTGAACCCCAAAAAGGCCCATGGATGGGGCTGGGCATTTAGCTCAGTGGTTCTGCCACTTTCATTACAAGCACAAGGTTCCAAGTCCAATCCACAGTACCAAAAAAAAAAAAAACATGGTAGAGGGGTAGAGGGGTGTCAAAACCACAATGCAAATGATATGATAATTAAGTCAGGGTCACTTTCCGGTGTTTAAGATATTCTGTAGCTCATGCATGCCCTAGCATGGCTTAGTTGTTAGAACTGGGTGCTCAGGCTGGTTTTCAGAGAGCTTACTTTGAGCCCCCAGAAGCCTGTTGAGCAGGGGCTGTCTTGTCCTTATTGGCTATAGTCTGGCTGTGAAAAGTGGATGCTTTCTGTGGTTTTTGGAGAGTTTGCCCTCTGCTCCTCAGAACCTGCCTCCAAGGGTTTCTTTTCTCTACTGCCTGCCTCAGGAAGGGGTTCACTTTCAAGTCCTAGCAATGTGTGAAATAGCGTGTGGAGGATCGCACATGTCATTGGAGGCCGATCATTCTTCCTGAGGGGAGTATGAGTATGAGTGGGTTTGGCTGAGAAGAACTGGAATTGGGGTCTGAGGTCGCTCCTCTAACTGGGGGAACAGGAGGGTTCATCAGTTTCTCAGGAATTGTGACTTTCAGTTTCCCTTTCACTTCAGGGTGTATCTGCCTGGAGGATGCATCCGCTCAGTATGCAGCTGAAGAGCTGAGGACCAGATCCACACAGCTTAGGATGGCTGAGTGGTGTCCAAATGTGGCCAGAGAGCATTTCTTGGGAGGTTGTGGGATCCCCCATCTCCTCATCCTCATAGCATCCCTGTCAGCGAAGGATAAGGGTTTGGGTTTGGACTCAGGTTTGAGTCTGACTGCTCCCCTCCCCCTGTACACTCACAGAAGAGAGGGCAAGGGACTGCTCAGCTGGATCATGAAGCTTCTAGTGGCTCAACTCAGGTACCAGGCTTCCTGAGTCAAGGGCAGGTGACCTGGAGGGAGGATGGATATAGGAGTGGCTACATGTGTAAGAAATGTTGAAGAAGCACAGGAGGTGGAAGAGGGCATGGGACGCTGAGCCCACCTGTCCTTGGCCTGGTCCATCAGAGGTCAGCCTCAGGCTGTGCTAGTGAGGCTCGAAGGGAGCAAAGGGTTTCTTTGGAGAAACAAGGGTTTGTTTGTTTGTTTGGCCAGCTCTCTTTGAACACGTACACGGTTCCAGGGCCTGTAGGGAAACTGAGGCCCTGGAAGCCAAATGGCTTGCCCGGGGAGCTGGGAACAAGTTATGGCAGGCCCCCACCTGCTGCTCCTCACATGGCCCTCCCCTCAGCCTAAGAGGGTGGGAGGAGGGAGGCAGAGCCTGTCCTGGGTGCTGGAGGGGAAAGGTGCCCAGGGTGGGGACTGAAGGGCCGAGAGTGCTGAATGATGTCTCCAGCACCATCCTGGCTTTGGAATCCTGAGAGCAGAGGCCAGGCTGTGAGTGTGTCAGGCCACCCCGTTATGGAGAGGCACAGAAACTCATAGGAACCTTGGATAATTAAATCTCTCTTTTCACTTCCATCCCAGAGTCGGAGGCCAGTGTCAGCCTCCACTGTGTCCACCCAGGGCTGGGTGTTGCTGGGAGAATCACTTCCCCTCCTGAGCCTCTGCTTTTTCTCCTGGGAGAGGGAATCAGGGTCCCCTGCCCTGCTGAGGCCCCAGCTAGCTACTGCCCTTGTTTACAGTGAGGTGGATGCAGTGCAGTGAGAGAGGGGACAGCAAACATTATGACCCTAGAGGCCAAGGGGGAGGGAACAGGAATCCTGTGCTGGCTTCTCAGACCAGGGGATGCTCAGTGGGGAGAGTGTGGGCCTGGCTGCCACATCCCAGCCTTGCTGGGTGCTGGTTATGAAAGTGGGAGCAATTGCACTTCAAATATTGGCAGCCAGGTGAAATTTAAATCTCACATAAGCCAACACGGACACACACACGTGCA